AGGTTAGTGGCGCGCCCCTCAGGCAGGGGAGCGCCGGCTAAGGTCAGTGGCGCGCCCCTCAGGCAGGGGAGCGCCGGCTAAGGTCCCGGTGTGGCTCGGCCGGTAGGGGAACGCAGGCCCACCCTACACCACTGCGTTCCAGCCCAGGGCCCTGACAGTGGCAGGACGAGGGTCCCGCCACTGGATCAGCGGCGTCCTTCCGCAATACAGACTCACCACTGTGCAGCTCTGTCCCTGGGCTACTTCCTACCCGATTGCTCGTCCGAATCCCTCTGGTCCCGCCGGTGCGTCGGGGTAGTCCGCTGCTGGCAGCTCCAGCTCCCCCTCAGGCTCAGGCTCCTCCAGGTACTCGGCTGCTGGCAGCTCCAGCTCCCCCTCCGGCTCCTCCAGTTTCTCTGGGTACTCGGCAGCGGGCAGTCCTGGCAGCCCCAGTCCGTCCTCCAGGTGAGGTCTCCACTGGTCCAGGGCCTCCCCTGGCGTGGCAGCAGGGTCTGAAGGGAGCAACCCACGATCTGCGTCTGCCTCCCTCCCTGGTGCTGCCCTAACTGAGCTAAGGGCCCCGCCCTTTATACTTCCTGTTCCACCCCTCCCGTTCCGGGGGGTGGAGCGAGCTTGGGCTGGCCACGCCCACTCAGGCTGAGGGAAAGGCCCTTTACCCTCAGGTTCGGAGGGCAGCCACCCTGGCCCCCTACAGTTACATTGTTGATTCATATTTAACTTGTGATCCACTATGAACACCCAGATCCCTTTCTGCAGTACTCCTTCCTAGGCTATTTCCCATTTTGTATATGTGTAAATGATTATTCCTTCCTAAGTGGCATAGTTTGCATTTGTCCTTATTGAATTTTATCCTATTTACTTCAGACCATTTCCCCAATTTGTCCAGATCATTTTGAATTTTAATCCTATCCTGTTAAAGCACTTGCAACTTCTCCCACCTTGGTATCGTCCACAGACTTTATAAGTGTACTCTCTATATCATTATCTAAATCATTTATGAAGACATTTAACAGACCTGAACACAGGGCCAGTCCCTGCAGGACCCCATTTGATACGCCCTTCCAGCTTGACTGTGAACCACTGATAACTATTTTCTGGGAATGGTTTTCCAAACAGTTATGCACCCACCCTTATTTGTTTATGAGAAAGTCATGCAAGACAGTACAAAAGCCTTACTAAAGTCAAGATATACCACATCTACCACTTCGAGTGTAACTTTGATTGCTGCTATCAACTCCCTGACATTATCTAAATATTTTTGGGTTGCCATAATAAATATTACATTGTGTCCAATTCAATTCCCAAACAAATCAGCTTCTGTGTTGGGCCTTTCATCTTTTCCCAGACTAGTGAGCCATCTCTTAAAATGCTCATAATAGGCAGGTGCATTTGCCTGACCCACAATTACCTGCCAAGAGGAAGTCCTCAAGGTAATGAACTGTGAGCTGCAAGCCCATTTCCTTCACTATTGGCCATTCCACCTAATCCTTTCAAAAGCTGCGCATGATATGGAGCAACCTATGGGCATGACCTTATCAAAATGCTAATAATCTTCCAGCTGAAAACCCAACAAGTTAAAATTCTTGGGATGAATGAGGAACAACTAAAATGCAGATTTCATGTTGCACTTTGTGAACTTTATTCCCAGGCCACCTCATTTTTATCACATCTACCACTGTGTCAAAGGAGAAATATTGAGGACAGAGGAACCATGAGGGGAAAATACATGTTGGATAATCCTGTATTCTCCTTTAGTTTTTTTAGGAATCACTCCTGGGGGAGGGGAAATAGCCATTGGTTTGACAATAATAATCTCACTAAAGGCTAGGCCACTCTTTTAGCTGTTACTTCCTCATCTATTTTGTTCCAAAATATTTGTTAAAAGATTAGAATAGATTTCAAATTCTTTGCCCCTATGTGAAACCTCTTGCCTCCATATGGGATCTGAAAACTGACTAAAAATCCATTCCAAATATAAACCATCTTTTGTTTGGATAATCCCATAGGAGCCCTCAGCAAGTCCAAAGTAACTGAGGATAGGGCTCTTTCTAGCAATGCTGTTTCCTTCCACTGCACTTGTCAAGCTACTGGGCCCTTGATGACCTCTTTCCAACAGGTTGTGTCTTTCCTCTGACCTGGTAGCAAGTGTGGGCACTGTAGCGGTCTCCACATCTTGCTTGTATTTGATACAAGAATGAAAGCATTGTCCTTTCATTAAAGGCAAAATAGATATCAATGGGGTGAAACCCCATCATGGTCTAGAAAGGGTTAAAAATCAGTTTGTCACATCTACTACACCAGGACCTTAATTAATTAGTTGCTTCTCAGCCAGAGGGAGTGGGACTAAGAGGGGTCAGATGATAACTTAATGGACAGTTGGGTCTCATAAAAGGCTGAGCATATGCAGCCTCAGGGGAGGAACCACAGACAGCAGAGTGACTCCTCTGAAGGGGCCTGAACCTGAGTGTGGAGGAGAACTGACATCTCAGGAAGACTCAGTCTGAGTTGCCAGTGCTTAATGCTAGACCTGGGAAGAAGATTCCAGAATAACCCAGAAAGAGTAATAGAGACAGAGCCTAGGGGAAGGGCTGATTTATTGAGACACTTTGGATGTTAGTTTAAACTTTTGTTATCTCAAAAGGGATCTGAACTAATCTTTCTCAGCTGGAGGGCTGTGATAGTGTAACTGTTTATACATTGGACCTGACATCCCTTTTTGATCCCTATGGTTTTGGTACCAGTAACTCAGAATCTGTTATAAACCTGCTGGGTCAGATGGGATGGAGTCATTCATTCCAGACACAAGTCTTAGTTCTTCTTACCTCATGACAAATATGCCGTAATTCTAATGACATAAGTCTTAACTCTTCATTGTATCTCAGCTGTGCCCCCCTCCCATATGTGGCATATGCCATTGATATGATTTCCATATATTTGAAAAGGGAAATACTTAGTACACTGGTGTAGATACAAAAGGGTGTAGTCTAATTATTGAGTGTTCTCACCATGTTAGATTGCTGGGGTTTTCTTCCTCCTTCTTTGTTTTTTCACCAGCATCCTCTCTCTAATTTTTCTTGAAGTAGAAGGGTAAACCTGTCCATGTACTCTTTTCTAAATCTCTTCCTTAAGGGCCTTTGACAAATGGGCCCTAAGTTGTCTGTCAAATCCTAGAATCAACACCTGCTTCTACTGTATGTTTCACATTGGCTCCCAATAGCCCATCTTTACTTGCTAAGTCCTCTGCTGACTTGAGAGCACTGGTGTTGGGCGTGTCACTGCAATCCCATGTACTCCCCATCCCCCCTTTGTGTGATTACCTCTGCAGTTCAAGGACCTTCTGGTTAGACACTGTCTCTGCCCCATATGCCTTCCCCCTGGGTGAGGAACTACCCACTTCAGGCAGACCCCCTAGCCTTTTGGGACTGAGGAATCAGTCAGTCTGCTAATTCAGCCCCTCATGGAGCTGCTTGTCAGCTGCTCTGGCCCTGGGCAATAGACCTTTATAAACCTGATTCAGAGTTTAAATAGACTGGAAGAGGGGGAATGGAGTGCAAAAACTGATCACCCAGACTTCCCAGCTTAGACAATGGAAGGTGGAGGATCTGGCGGGGAGGAGATGCCTGCCTTATCAAGCATGCATTCTTGCCTCCCCTCTCCCTTCTGGGCACTGACTTATGCCTACCAATCTAATCAACAACACCTCCTGTTTCACAGTGGGGAAGCATTGTATCTGATGATGTGTGTTAAACAGACTTCAGGTACCAATTGTTTGTATTTTTACAAGGGAGCAAACCAACAGGAAGAAAGGAAGGAATGAAAGAGGGTATTGATATATATTCCATAATGATTTTATAAGCCCAACCAAGAAACGTAGCCTACAACTAGTTTACTAATGAAGTTCAGCATCACAGAAGCAAGCAGCTGGTCATTTGTGCATACCCCAATTAACACCAGGGAGGATTGTGAATTTATAGGGCAGAGTTGGCCAGTAAATAAATTTTTTTTAAATGTTAAAATTTAAGAAGCTTGAGTATTTAGTATGTAGGTTCTTTATACGTAGGTATGTGTGTGTGTTTGTACACAAATATGCAATAATGTATGTGCTTTTTATTTGTATATTCTATGTGGATAAAGAAAGATCTTAGCTTAATGTGCTGTCATACTTTATTTTGCAATAGTAATATTGCAAATATAGATTTAAAAATATACACTTTTATCCAAATTACATTGACGTGCTCAGATATATTTTAGTGAGTGTATGCATATGAGAACATGTGATGCTTTTATATGCTGT